TGACCGGGGTGGAGACCATGAAGGTGGATCTCAACACAGTGTCGTCAAGGAAGATGTCGTGGTTCGAAAAGATGCAGACCGACATGCTCAAGTTCATCAACGAGCAGTGGCGGAGGCACGGGGGGGGGGGCAGCCAGGGCCCGTGCCCTCCCCAACATCCTAATTTCCTTGGTAATATGCAAATGAACAGTGACATCTTTTTACTGTTACCTGCAGCCGGCCCTCCCCAATGTCCAATTATATGCATTCCTGCCTCCGCCACTGCCGACGAGTGATCTCACGCCTTTCTTTTTTGTATGTTGGCTTGTGTGCTGGCATGACCACGGGCCGCGATGGCTGGTCAAACTCAAGTCCCACCCTTTTTGTGTGCTGGCATGTGTGTCGGCCGCTGGCGAGTGCGCCAGCGTGAACTGTGTGGTGATATTTTTTGAAGCCGACAATGTATGTCGGCGCTGGCATGGTGCCGGCATGAGACATGGCTGCTCGTATGATCTATGCGCCGCGGGCCTTTTTTTAAATTGAGTGCGGACATAAAAATGGATCGGCGCGTTGGGCGGGCGGCCGACCAAAATGCAAAATAGGACGGACACCGGGCGGGCAACCAACCCAAACGGACAAAAAGCGGACAAATGCGCCGTATGTTTGGGTCAGCCGGTTGGAGTTGCTCTTACTGTTCATTCACACAGTTTCTTCACAGTTTTCTGACGTTGCACGTACGGGTAATTTTTTTTTTTGAACTATTGGGACACACGGACATTTTTTGCTAGCAAAGGATAGAGAGGATTCGCGAAGAAAACGAAGGACGAGAGGCTTCGACGAATCCGTGGGCCCGTGTGAATACAACGTGCGCGGGGGGCAGAGCAGCGGGTCGGGCCAAAAGCAAGCGTTTCCCAAATCGAATTGCCCCTTTCTTTCCCCTCGTCCAAGCCTCGGCCTCTTTATAACCCCCACCACCTAATCCTGCCCGTCCACCAAAGCCGCCAGCCTCCCTCCCCTGCCTGCCAGCCCCCAAATCTCCCCTCCCTCTGTCGCTCTCGAATCTTCCCCGAGCATCGACCATGTCGGCCTACTGCGGAAAGTACAAGGGTACGCGATCCATCTCCCTCCTTCCCCCTCCTCCCCTCCCTCGTCGTTCTCTCGATACGTCGGCGGTTTGATCTGTCTCGCGTGTAGATCCGTTACCCGTTCGCCGTTCGTCATGCTTAGATCTACCTTTGCTCGCGAATCCGATGTACTGTATGCCCTCCGTACGCGCCGTGCTTTGATCTGCTTGGTTCTAGCGGTTACGCTGTTTTCGAGCGGATTTAGGCGCTGCGTTATTAGATCAGTGCTTTGGGTTCCCCGGTCGCGTCAGGTGATGGGTTGCATGCTGATGATTACTGCTAGGTCCATGCTAGTGATTATTTTGTGTGGATGATGATACTGGCGTTCCTTCTTTTTTTGCAAGTACTTTTTGGGCAAGTTGATAGACTCCGTTGCTCCATCTGTACATAATTCTGTTTGTGTTCGTTGTAGTGGTAATTATGGCTTTAATTATTGAAGATTGTACCTGTAAATCTAGATCTATTTAGATCCTGGTGGCTTCTTTTGCTAAGCAATATACTGTGCTTATATAGTTGCAAGCTGTATTGGTTTGCTCTGCTGCCATGTTAAGGGCTCCTTTGATTCAAAGGAATTTTATAGGATTTCTGGAGGATTGAAATCCTTTGGATTTTTTTGTATGTTGGTCCTTTGATTTATAGGATGGAATCCCATAGGAATTTTTCCTATGGAATCTTTTGTATCTTTTGTACGACATTTTATAGGAAATCTAACATTCACTCCAACCTCTTTTTACAATTCCTTTGTTTTTCCTGTGCCATTAAACACCCATTGCTACCCCTATATAGGATTCAAGTGGGCATGCCACTCTAACCCTATACTTTTCCTATTCCTACATTTTCAAAATCCTACGAATCAAAGAGGCCCTAATTCTTTGTTTCCCCTTTGTGTTAACCACCTTGTGCTGTTGTACAGATACTTCTACTGAGAAATTGTCAAAATTTCATAATCACTTGTCCGAATTATGGAATATCCTGTGGTTATATAGTCGCAAGCTGTATGAGTTTGATCTGTTGCCATGTTAATTCTTTGTTGCCCCGTGTTAGCCACCTTGTGCTGTTGCGCAGATACATCTTTGAGAAATTGTCAAAATTTCGTAATCAGGTGTCAGAATCATGGTAGTCGGTTTGTTATACATGTGTTGTTAGTTACACTCAACTTCTGCAGTTTTGTAGATTTTAGCACAATCTGAAATACTTATGGCAATTGATCTTAAATACTGATGGTGGTTATCCTGCAGATGAGCTCATCAAGAACGCTGCCTACATTGGCACCCCTGGCAAGGGTATCCTTGCTGCCGACGAGTCCACCGGCACCATCGGCAAGCGCTTCGCCAGCATCAACGTTGAGAATGTTGAGGACAACCGTCGCGCCCTCCGTGAGCTCCTCTTCTGCACCCCTGGAGCCCTCCAGTACCTCAGCGGCGTGATCCTCTTCGAGGAGACCCTGTACCAGAGCACCAAGGGTGGCAAGCCCTTCGTCGACATCCTCAAGGAGGGCAACGTCCTCCCTGGCATCAAGGTGGACAAGGGTACCGTCGAGCTCGCTGGAACCAACGGTGAGACCACTACCCAGGGCTTTGATGACCTTGGCAAGCGCTGTGCCAAGTACTATGAGGCTGGTGCCCGCTTTGCCAAGTGGCGTGCTGTCCTCAAGATTGGCCTCACCGAGCCATCACAGCTTTCCATCGACCAGAATGCTCAGGGTCTGGCTCGTTATGCCATCATCTGCCAGGAGAATGGGCTGGTGCCCATTGTTGAGCCTGAGATCCTTGTTGATGGACCTCATGACATTGACCGCTGTGCTTATGTGACCGAGATGGTCCTTGCTGCCTGCTACAAGGCTCTCAACGACCAGCATGTCCTCCTTGAGGGTACCCTCCTGAAGCCCAACATGGTTACCCCTGGTTCCGACGCCAAGAAGGTAGCCCCTGAGGTGATTGCTGAGTACACCGTCCGCACCCTCCAGAGGACCGTCCCTGCTGCCGTCCCTGCCATTGTCTTCCTCTCCGGTGGACAGAGTGAGGAGGAGGCGACCCTGAACCTGAACGCCATGAACAAGCTCCAGACAAAGAAGCCCTGGAACCTGTCCTTCTCCTTCGGGCGTGCTCTCCAGCAGAGCACCCTCAAGGCCTGGGCTGGCAAGGCGGAGAACGAGGAGAAGGCCAGGAAGGCGTTCCTGGTGAGGTGCAAGGCCAACTCCGAGGCCACCCTCGGCACCTACAAGGGCGATGCCACCCTTGGCGAGGGCGCCTCCGAGAGCCTCCACGTCAAGGACTACAAGTACTGATCTACCTTCGGATATCGTTTGGGTGTCCTGCTTACCAGTATTATCGTTTGGTTTTCAGGGTCCTGATATATCCTTCGGATATCGAACCTAGTATGGAACTTTACCTTAGGTAGTTTTGTTTTTGGAGTTGAATGAATATCCTGTTTTTGGAGTCGAATACCGTGTAACCTGAGTGCTGCGTATAGTAAGTTGGTGGTAAAACCTGTTATATGCTGAGTACACATGCTTTGAGTTTTCTATTTCGATGATTGTGCGTCGCTTAATTTTTCTTTCGTTGTTGCACTTGGCTGAAGCAACCTTCCTGTTTTCTCTTACATACTTCCTTGGGCTGGAGCAATCTTTCAATTTTCTCTCGAGCAGAAATTAAAACTTGAAATTTCAAATCAAGGTTCTGTATCCGGTTTTTAATTCTATATCACATACACATTTTCAGCCAGCAGCACTTTTTTGAATAATGCAATATTACAGCATTCTTTTCTTGTATTTTGGCTGCTTGGTTGAGACCATCCAACCTAGAGTAAGGCAGCGCTAATTGCAATCAGAAACCAAACTTGACATTCCGTGTATGCTCTCGATGGTAGTGTACACGTGCAATCTTTTTTGTTTGCAGCACTTTTTTTGACTTTTTGAACGATTGGATAATAGTACAATAGTATCGTCAACACAACAGAACGATTGACCACTGCAGCAGTTTTTTAGTTAGCAGGCTTGACTGCCTTCTGAATCTGATTGAACTCATTGAAGAGATCATCCAACCTAGAGCGAGAGCAGCGCTGAAGTTGAAACCAAGAAGTTTCGTTGGGTCATCATCAGCGCGTACATGTACATCCACAGCAATCTGCATTTGATTTCAATTTCAGTGGCCGTGAAAAGTTGACTGCTTCCATGAGCACCCTGTCAAACTTAAACTTATGTCCGTGGACTTATAAATTGCAGCTTGAAGTGCACCCCGTCAGTTCCAGACCAGTGCTTCTCTGACCATTTCGAAATCATTCGTTTGCTTTCTTCGGGTTTCTGGCACACTTCATGACCCAAATTTGAATCCATAATAAGTGCCGTGATTTTAGTTTGAACTAAAAGCACGGCACTTATTATTGTGGACCGGAGGGAGTGCTTATTATGAACATGTGATGTGGTTCATAAATTTTTAACTACTACATAAATTTTGAACTGGTACCAGAAAAAAAGTGCTGCACAACATAACCGCACCACAAAGGGAGGAAGCAGTAGCAGATTCATGATTCATGAAGAGCTCTTTTTCCACCAATGTTGGTGACACACAGAGATTGACTCATTACCCAGCGACTGTTCTTTTTTAATTATAGCTTGGCAATTTGCCAGAGCATCAGATACCAAACAAGTAAAAACCTTCATCAGGATCCATCAAACACTTCTTTTTCTGTACACTTATTACCACACCAATGCGATTGCGCAAAGCCAGAGCAACAAATAATGGCGCTTGGCAAACGGACTGACTGACTGACGGCTTCGGCTTCGGCTTTCGCTTGCCAGACACGATCTGCGGAGGATGGTCGGCTGCCGGAGAACCCTTGCACTGTAGTACATCATCGCTATCCCCGCGCCCAACCGGAGCTGGCGCCGGAGCGTCGCTAGACTAGGTAGTCATAGTAGACCAGCAGGAGGTTGTCGGGGACGATGAGGGGCAGGCTGTCGATGAAGCTGTGGAAGTGCCTCACATTCTCCTTCTCCAGGGTCACCGGGTCGATCACGTCCTCGTCGCCAGTGAGCACCCACAGGTCCCTGGACTGGACTCGCTTCAGGCTTCCGCGGCAGAATGGGCACGACTGGGATCTTGTGTACCTGTAACCACGATGCACATTAGAGGTGGGGCTCGATGGCACTTGCAGCACAACAGAAAGCACAAGCTGCTGTCTAGTCTGAAGTAATGCTGTTGGAGAAGCCATTGACGGCCCCCAACACTGTAACGAAGCGGCACAGTTCATTATCATTATAACAACAACTTGCCATGTGCAAAACCTATGACACACACGACGCCGTGCAGATAACACTTGCCTTGGTACACAAGTGTGATCTGCCAGCTAAGGAAACATAATTAGAATTATTAGAATGTCACACGGTCTCTCCCGCGAGAGACAGGGCGAAACCTAACACGCCGCCAGCCCAGCCCCCTCGCTTCCCCACCTTCCCCTCGCCGCCGCCAGGGCGCGCCGCCGGGCGAAGCCCGGCCGGCATCGGCGGCGGCGAGGATCTCCTTCCTCCTCGCCTGATCTGCTGCGGCGCGGGCGCGGCACCTTGGCGGGGACGCCTCGTTCTGGCGCAGGGTGTGGTGGTGGGGCTGTGTACGGTCGCGCTGGTGGCGGGATTGGGCGGCGACTGGGGCGGCGTGGTGCGGGGCGGCGGCGGCCAGGCCCAGCAAGCAGGCGGCGGCGTACGGCGGGATGTCCAGTGGCGGCGGCGTCCGATCTGGGCTCAGATGGGCTTCGGCGGGCCGTGCTTGCTGCTGGCTTGTCTTCCATGCTCCGTCAATGGCAAACTGCTCCTGGGCTCGACCCGCAACTCGAGTACGTCGGGGGCTCCGGCCCTCGGCGTGGCGGTGGTGGTCGGCCAGCTGGTTGTGGCATCACACATCCAGTCCCAGCGCCAAGTGGGAGACGATGCTGCCGGTGAAAACCGTGCTATGACTTCGGTCAGGGCGGGCGATGGCGGCGTTTTCGCGTCGTTATCTTGATGAAGACATCGCCACTGTAGCTACCGTCGACTCGCTTGCGCTGCTCCGGGATGAAAACCTAGACCCGGGGTTCCCGGATCGAATGATGGCGACACTTTAGGCGTCGTTCTCCCTCATGGGGGCATTGTTTCTGGAGCAGCGGCTGGATGAAGGAGACAAGTGGTTGAGCGGTTTTTCATTTACCACATCAAAGACGGCGGATCTCGGCGGCGTGGTGCAATGGGGATTCGGTGTCCGATGCAAGGAGATGGACTCGCGCAGGAGGAGGACGCTGTCTGGCGTCATGGTGGCGTCGATGGCAGAGAGGCCTAGCGAGGTCGGTGCGTTAGTTTTTGCTCTGAAGATGGATTGGTGGAAGATGGCGGCGACAGCACATGAGAGTGCGTCAGACCGGTGTATACCCCAAACCTAGTATGTGGCTTGGTTGGGGCCTCCGGCATTAGATGTTAGGCATTTGTGCGATGTCTGTTTGGTATTAGGCTCGGACTATCGGCACACCTTCATCAAGTGGATAGAAATAGTGACATATGTTGCTAGGATGGTGGCTTCAGACTATCTGATGTACTACTTTGTAAGGTCTTTGTGAATAATTAATAAAATGGCTGCATGCATCGCTCAAATGCAGAGGCCGGGGGTAATCCTCCTTTTCTAAAAAAAAAAGAATGTCACACATTTAAATATCCTCCACGCCCCCTTGCGCTTATCCCTTCAAGTTTGTGCTGTGATATTGACAATTGCCACTAGTAATGCAGCACTGCTACTGGTTTTTATTTGTGGACGCAGCTTCCAGGTTGTCTCATTTCCATACCACTGATAAAATAGTCACAAGTGTATTTAGTGTGACAAACAGCAGGGCTTTAAGAATGGTATGAACTATGAAGTACCACAACTGCCCATCAAACGCAAAACAGATTCAGTACTACTCAATTAAACGGGATAGCCGAATGCGTCTCTTGAGTATGGCATAAAGTTGGAATGGTTGGATTATGTAATCTTTCCTAGTTGACAAATGGAATGCCAATAAGAAACACTGCAACTTCCAGCTTCCAGGCAACTAATCAAGTGTTCAGTGCAAGCAAAGCAAAATAATCTGAACAGATTTGCAGTGTTTCAAACAACAGTGAATCAGCGATAACATTTTTGTTTGGTGTGAATTTTGAATATTTTGGAGATAATGTAGCTTAAGTAGGGCTAAATGGAGTTGGAGGGCAATAGAATGCAGAATTGTGTGCGTCAAATACTACTGTTGGGTTGTTGAACTACTCTCTCCCTACCCCTACCAACACTGAATTGAGTAGGAGCAGCTCACAAACAGCACCAAGGTTGAAAAAGAAGTGAACCAATAACTTCTTCGCACAATACAAATGCATTGTTAGAACCCGTGATTCCAAAGCTGTCGCCGCTCACGCGATTCCTCACATATTTATCTCTTAAATTGACCTTATCTCGAGGCTCTTTCAACCACTGGCAATTTTTAACATTAGCGTGTGACGTGGGGACTATAGATGATAAACAACATATATGGTGCTAATTAAATACGCCTCAAACGGATAAGAGCAAGGGGAACCAGGGGCAATTACCAGTCTCGGTAACAGTTGATGCACATGGCATGGTTGCAGTTGGGAAGGACCATCTTGGTGCAGGCCTCCAGGCAAATGCCGCACTCGTCTTCCCTCTCGGCGTCCTTGTCATCGGCGTAAAGCTTCCGGCGGCCGCCGCTGTCGCCGTCCCCCTTGCACCACCCCTTCTCCTTGCAGTCTCTCGCCATGACGTTCTCCTCAATTTGTTGCAAGTAGGGGTATATTATGGCTGCATTCCATGGCACATCAGACGCACATGGTGTCAGTGCACGAAAAAGGCCTGAAACTGAAGAATTTCCCCCCAACTATGTGCTTGCTGCTATGCATACCGTAGAATTCTTTGAGGCTCGCTCGCCTTTCGATGGTGGATATGGAGGCATCCCCATCAACATAAACCTGCAGTGAGACCAAAGCATCTAAAAACATCATTATCATGGAGCAAAAAGATAAATAATCTGGAAATGAAATTCGGCTCATGAATTTCAGGGCCTGCAGCAAAGACTGAATGAAACAAGTACCTTGTAGACGAGAACCTCGAGAAGGCCCAGGTAGCTGGGGAGGGTGTAGGAGAGGGAGCAGCTGCAGTCCATCCACTGGATAAGGTTGAGGATGATTGGAGCCATGGAGCTGTAGGACAGCCTCATCTGCACGCAGGTGCCCCCGTAGGCCCTGTGGATAGCATGCGCCCTGAAAAAAGAAGCACCGATTCATCAAAACATGCCTGTAGACATGGATTTAACACCCCCACAAATTGCATCAAACATGTCAAAGTAGGGACCAAATACAGCCAGGAACCAAAAGGGGAACCTTTCCCTTTCTACTCCTTTTTCCAGAAAAAATCAAGTACAGAAGGAGAACAACACCCAGAATCAAGAAAAAACACGGAGGGGGGAGGCGAGCAAGAAGAGGATTTGCTTACAGGGTGTTGGCGTGGTGGATATCGGCTTCGAGGGCCTTGAGGGAGCCCCTGAGGGACAGCGGCCTGCCACCGTGAAGCATGGCTCTTCTCCGGCAACCCAAGAACCTCCTGTGGCTGTGGACTAGTATGGTTCAGAGAGAGAAACTTGGGGGAGGAGGAGAGGGGCTCGAGGAAGCAAGAGGCGACCGGGCTACCAAGCAAGAAGAAGAGCGCGGAGCAAGCTGTTGAGGTCTGGGTGTGGGGAAAGGTAAGCTTTGGGGAAGCTGTGAGGGAGAGGGAGAGGGGTGAGGAGCTTTTGTCCTGCGGCCTCGGCCCCCTCGGTTTTATAACGGGAGGGCAGGCTACGGCCGTGCAATCTGTGGCTGCTTTGCTTTCGCTTTGTTTTTGCTTCCATGGTTGCTTGAGGGCTTGAGGGGAGGATAGATAGAAAGGAAATGCTTGGGAATAAAGAAAGCGGAGGAGACAAAGGGAGAGGGAAAGGCTACACAAATAAGGCATAGAGCGGTTATGAGCCTATAATCTACGTATTTCCACTATCGTAGTACAAATATATAGTGATTCTATTCGCAAATCATAATTTACCTATAAATTTTGCTCGCACCAGTCGGTTTTTGGATGAGGCCGAAGATGGGGCGACGTGACGAGCGTCGATGACAAGCGTTGATCCCGACGAGGATGAGCCAGGACCTCGCCGGAGATGGGGATGTTGCTGGGAGGGCGTTTGCGGCGTCCTAGGTAGGCGAGGAAGCAGGTTGACGGGTGCAGATGTGGGGATGTTGGTGTCGGAAAACAGGAGGTTGGGGGTTGGGTGGGGCCAAAGATGGCCTTGGACATGAGAGATGTGATGGTGCACTCCGACGATGGAAGGACGAGGCAGCGGTGCGATCGCGGAGGGAAAGGGGGAGGTTGGCGGTTATGGTTGGGTTGGAGGGCGACGACGCGAGGAAGAAGAACATGGGGAAAGAAGATGAACAATGCGATTTTGGTTGGTGGTTGTTGGATGATGATCCGACGCTCCATATTTTCAACCGGTGGCAAAACCGTTTTAGGTATCTGATGAATATGTGCTTTCGGTTTTTTGGTAATTTTTCTGCTATAGCTATTTATTCTTCATTTAGAGATTGCCATGAAACTAAAAAGATTATATCATCTGATGATTCTATTTTCTAATCTTCACGTTCCATAAATTTCACGTGTGTCGGTCGATTTTCAGACAACCCCAAAAATGGGACGACGTGAGGAGCGCCGGCAACGATGGAAGGGCGAGGCAGCGATGCGATCTGGGAGGGGGGAGGTTGGCGGTTAGGG